CATTTCGATAATGGAAGTAAACAATCGATAAGCTCTTGTAGGCTTAAATAGCTTTATAATGAAGCTTGTATGAAGAGTTTGTATAGTATAATTGTTTTTCAAATCAATTAGGTTTAGTATTTGAGTTCTAAAATTAACTGAACACTAATTTAAATTTTGATACTAAAGTTGATGTATGTCGCACGAATAATAAAATATCGATTTTAGAAAGGTAAAGGCCAATACGTGTAGTTGTAGCATTTTGATTTGTTTGTATCTCTAAGTTAGAGAGGGTAGTGTTTAAGGAAATGAGCCGAATCGAAGGAAAGAAGGTTAAACCGACTTAAAAAAATATATAGTAAAAAGTACAAAATAACTGATTGGTAGTTTTCATTTACTATAGATACCTAATCAGATATTTTCGAAGACGGTGCCAGCCAACAAACATACTTAAATACACATACAAAATTTTGTATATTTGTTTGGAAGCCCTAATAGATTATCATATGTGAATATTTTTCAGTTCCAATAATATTACATAGATCGAACACGTGTCGAATTGATAGCATACTTTTATTTCAAGTCAGTTGTATTCCGCACTTTTTAGCGCCTCACTACAGAGCACAGGCCTCCCTTCAATACGAGGGGGATCAGGCCATAGTCCATCACGCTGGCCAAGAGCGGGTTGGTGGAATTCACATGTCTTTTGAAAACTTGCTAAGTTCTCTAAGACATGCAGGTTTCCTCACGATGTTTTCCTTCACCGTTAAGACAAGTGGTAATCATGTTGGCAATAATTCGCACATGAAAATATCAGAGAGATTTGAACCCGCTTCACTCAGTTTCTCAAGCGAGCGTGTTGCCACTGGGCTACCACAGCCCACTGAAGTCAGTTATGAGATATAAATTGTAGGTACTATATAAGATGATTTATTTTTGAATCAAAACGAATAGGCAAATGAATAAATTTTGAAGAAAATATAAAGCAAACCGAATTGTTTACTAGTTTGCGATGTCGTCCATAGCGGAAACCCATAAACATCATTTAAAGAATTATTTTCCTTCCATATTTCTTTAATATACGTTCTTTAAAATCATATCGTAACTACAAAAATCACTCATTTCATAACACACACATTACAACGAAACACGCAAAATTTCATACTTGCTGGATCGCCGAAGAACTTGCACAGCAATTTTGAAAGTTTATTTTCTTTGATACGTGAAATGTACAAAACATATCAAGGCAAGTATAAGTACTTGCTTGTGAGTCTATTACCCTCTCAAGATGGTGATAAACCTAGGAGCTATAAAGCTACGAGTTTTTGAAGCGCGCCTTCAAAGTTGACGTTTTTATTCAGTTCCACAGCGGATACACAACTGTAGCTCTTAGCTTTTTCGCGAAGTTTTCCAAGGAAGCAGTCAATACTCATCTATTTCTCTTCAATCAGATTTTTTTTCTAGATGGAAAAATAAGTGCATTCTGTTCCACCAAAAAACTTCTATTTTGACTTTATAACCATTATGTTTAATTTTCCAAAGACAAAGTTATTTTTTAAATACACGGTGATAACTAAAAATAACTGAAGATAATAATAAATAAAGTACACTCTGTTATACAAAATATGATCAAGAATACTCATCATTTGCTTACTCGCGGCATAAAAACTCTTGAAACACACATAAAAGCATGAAGAGAAATACTAAAAAAAACTATAAATTATTCCATTGAAACCAATAAGATTTTGAATTTAAAAGCGATTTATTGAAACGCATGCAACATTGAATTCACTACAACGTTCAATAGCTATCTCATTTCACGGATAAGAGACATAGAAAGCATAGTTTAGAATCTTTCCAATCCTTATCGTTTACTTTCCAACTCCATCCTATTTGCATATATAATGTAGAATCGAAATCATTCAAAGAGTATTCAGGGCTGAATGCGAGATAAAACAGAAACAATAAATTAAAATGTACATTTAATTTTATTATGTTAAGTACAGTATAAACAGCTGCGTTTTATGGACGTTTTAATTATGTTCCGTTTGAATGATGTAATTGTGTAAAGCTGAAAAATATATTTTTGAATTTTGATGAATTTGCGAGCTTTTGTTTTCAATGTTTTGAGCTTTTGTAGTTTTTATGGTATACTAGTTTGCATGTTACACGTATTATGTGATAATAGCATTGCCCACGGCTCCGCCCGCGTTCAGATGACCAAAAACCAAATTCTTAGGTTTTACATATAAGTATACTCTTATATTGCAGTATTTGTATTTTTTCTCAAAAATGAGATATTTTCCTACGGTAGAAAGTATCCTATATGTTGACTCGGATAACCAGCTATCACTATACCAAATTTCATCAAAATCCCTCCAGTGGTTTTTTGTGATGCGGTAACAGATAGACAGACAGACAGACAGACAAAAAAGTCTAAAAACTATAGATTTGGCCTCTATCGATAATAAAGTCTATTTCAATGAGTTTTTCCAAAAAATATTTAATGTACAGATTCGGTTTAGTTACAATTTTATTAAATGTATAGATGTAAACATCATTGCTAATAAAACCACATTGGATACGATATTTCAATATTGGCTAACTTGCAATATAAAAACGGATTTTTGCTGTTGAATGGATTCGCACTACGTTGCGAATATTTTGAGAACCACCGCTTCAATCAATTTTCACGAGCAAAATGGGACTGGATGGGTTTTCGTTTTGCATTTATTTTATCCATATCTAAATTTCTCATACGCATAGTTTCGATTATATTTTTTATTTGGAAGTTTTAGCGTTATCTACACAATACACGTTTTCTAATACATAGCAGATGTGTGTTAAAGCGATGCGCGGTTATGAAAGAGTCCATCTCAAAGTCTGAGGTCTTTACAGCCTGTTGTTTTTGACTGACTTGAAAAAAGGAGGTATTCAAGGTACTGAATTCAGTTGTAGATTTTTTAATTGTGGATCTCATTCTTTATAATAACATATATAATAAATATAAAAAAAACATTCAAAATAAAATCTTTGTAAATGATTTAGTTATAAAGTAATTATTAAAAATATATAGAGATTTTCCCACGCGATAACGTGGGTGCGTCTTTGGGTCGTTAATAGTTGTTAGCCTTTTTTAATATTTATAGTTTTCCCAAAGTACCGAAGAAATTTTGATGAAATTCGGTATAGTGATAGCTGGCTATCCGGGTCAACATAGGTATAGGATACTTTTTACCGCGGGAAAATTATTTCATTTCTGAGAAAAAATATAAAAATTGCAATGTAAGAGTATACTAGTTAATATTTAAACCCTAAGAATTTGGTTTTTGGTCGTCTGAACGCGGGCGGAGCTGCGGGCAATGCTAGGCTAAACTAATTGTAAAATAAAATGTGTCGTTAAGTATAATATATAAGTTTGTGTCGTTGTAGGGGTAATCTCTGGATTTACTGAACCGATTTAGATGAAATTTGGTAAAAAGATAGTTTGAGGACCTGGAAAGGACAAAAATACTTTTTAGCCCGGAAATCATCCCTTAAAGGGGCGAAAATGGGGATGAAAGTTTGTATGGGGAATAAACCTAGGTTATTATATTTTATACAGGTGAAACAAACGAATGAGACATGGGAGAAAAGTAAATAATGTTTTTCAAAATAAGAATGACTACGTTTAAATAATTTTTAAAATATTTAATTATAAAATATCGGGAAAACGGAGTGGAGTTGTAAGTTTTCGTAATGCTTATTAATAGTAAAATACAATATTTATTCGGTAGATTTTATTCTTATCATATACCCTATACATAAATTATAAAATTGTGACAGTCTATTTTTGCAGTGTTAGTTAGTTCGATTATTGGCTCGGAGAATCTATCAATATTTGAGGTACATTTTCCCATGTCCCGTTCATTTATTTCACCTGTATATATATCTACATGTACAGTATCTACATATTTTTAGAACACAGTAACGCATGACTGCGTAAACCTCGTTTACGACGAAATTCTACAGTTATTAAATTAGCAAGTAAATTAGTCTGAGGTTTTTATAATTCAAGAGACGCTCATCTAATATATAAAATTTCCATGTCACAATGTTAGTTACCGTACTCCTCCAAAACAGCTTTACCGATTTTTACCAAATTTTATATGCGTATTCAGTAGGTCTGAGAATCGGCTACTATCTATTTTCCATACCCCTAAGTGATAATTGTGGCCCACATTAGGTACGAACTCGAGCGGAGCGAGGGTGAGTCGCTAGTTTTTATATAATTGAGTGGCAGCACACACACACAAACTTGATGTAAGGTAAAAAATAAAATCAGATTTTTATATTTTATATGGCAATACTGTAATAATTAAATTAAAATCAATATATAAAATTTTATAGAATTCGTCCTGAAATAGAAATGTAGTGTGAGTCATCAAGCTTTTAAAGCCTTATATATTTTAATACTCCTCCAATAACTACTAACATCAATTTAACGAATCCAAACTTGTTATTAAGGAACGGTCATGTCTAGAATAAATTATCTCGTCTTTCGCCAATATTTTCCAATATGTTCCAAGTCACGAATGATCTACTACGTTGCCAGAAAATTATTTTAATTAGGCTAATTTAGAAATTTGTTGGCTCCAAAAACAATTATTCTAACTAGTTATATGTTAATAGGATTTGTAGGACGCTTTTGTTATAATATTATTGTTTTAGTTCAGGTCTAGTTACGAGAAAAAATTGATGATTTTATTTTTGAAGTTAAACTTCTTTTGGCATGTTTGGAAAAAAATATGAGAGTAAAATTTTTACGATACGCGCACATCGACAGCCAAAAAGCGAAATGATGAAGCTAGCACTCCTTTCATAAACAGAGAGCTGTGACATACGGGATGAATTCTTTAGCTATTTTTGTTGTCACGCCAAAGAAGTATAATTTTTAACAACGTACATAAGTACACACACACGTTTTTTTGAAGTCTGTTGAAAATAAAATTTTAAATATTATAATTTATTATTTATCTTACCCAATACGCCTAATCTGAAGTTCAGCGTGACTACAATTAGGTCAGTGTAGCTCGCGAGGACTGCGCCATCATAGGGGCTTCCAGAACTTAGCGAATAACCATCTCCATGTATGTACACTAATACTGGCAGTGCTAATTTTGTTTCATCCACTAAAACAGATACAATTTGCATATAAATTTGGACTTAAAATTATAATCATTTATTTAGTGTTAAAGCAGCAATAACTTATAAAATGTCATATATTCTATTATAAGTCACGACAACTCCACATTATTTGTAATATCACTTACTTTGTAAAGGTGCAAATATGTTTAAATAAAGACAATCTTCGCTTTGATTCTTAAGATAAGGTATCAGTCTTTTTATATAATCTAATCTGCCTTTAGGCATTTTTTCTAAGAGGAGTCGCTCGTCATTCAAGTCCGGTAACTTTTGAGGACAAGCAGGACCTGGACGGTCAGATACTCTGACCCCATCCCATGGTGAAGGAGTTCTTGTGGGGCTGAATCTAAAAGCATAATAAAACCTGTCGAAAATCCTTCAAAATTGTCATATTTTTTCAATAATGGCGTCAGATAATGAGACTTTCCGCATAAAACTAATAGATTGAAAAATAAATATTAATAAGTATTATCTGAATCTTAGCAAAATTTTGGCAGAAACCATTTGAAGAATAAATTCAAAATAACAACACATTTAAAAACAATTAGATCTTTGGTCTTTTACGTACCTATTGGAACCAACAGGAGGTGTCGCATAGGGCACACCTAAAAAAACTTCCAATGGACTCAAGTACCTTTGCTCATCCATCGCCAATACTATCCCCTGTAATTTTCCATATTTTGTCTGAACTATCCTACTACTTATTTTAAACTTAACACTAGACTTAGGTATTGGATTTGATGGATTTAGATAATATCTTTTATAGTCGCCATAATCGCTGTATCCATTCCTTTCATGTTCATAGAAATTGTGAGGAAATTCTTCATTATTATAGTACGGATTCTTATCGAAATTGACTTTTGTATATTTTTCCTGATCTTCGTAATCTTCATTCGGATGATCATTCTGTGCTTTTATATTATATTTATTACCTTTATCACTTTTTCTATTCATATTTGTCGTATTAGAATTGGCTGTTTGTAGAGATAGAAAAAATATTAGCAAAAATGAATATAAATTGAAATACACTAGTTTTTTAGCAAATGCTTTGCTATTCCCACTATCAGTTGTACGATCGTCATATTGACGCATCGCCCCGTTTTTAGTTCGCGCTTCATGAAACTGTCCAACTGGAAACATATTTCGTCATGTTATCATTTTTGTATTGGATTTATGACTAAGTTTGTGTGTCGGGCTCAGAATTTTTGTGTGACATCTGTAACAAAACAAAATTAAAAAATTAACACCAAATTTACATAACGTAAAATCACTTATTGATCATTATTAAAATTATTGATTACAATATAATATTATAGTACACTTGCTATAGTAATTATGTAATATGTATATATTTCAAATAGGAAAAAATCTATAGTCCATTGTTTTTTTTTGTATAATGTACATTGTGCATTTTTTGCTTAGAAGTTATTAAGAATGTTGTAGAAGCACATATTAATATAATAAAAAGTTTTCTGATTTTGTTTCTCTCTTCAATCATAATATCTTCCACATCTATACATACTTATAATAAAACAGTAACTTAGCAAATTTGTACGTGAAATATTTTTTTAAAAACTAACTGTAACGTATTGTGTACACAATATAGACCCCAAAATAATAGTTATTAAATTTTTTGTCTGTTTGTTTGTTTGTTTGTTTGTACGTGTGCGTTTCACACAAAAAGTAGTAAACCGATTTTAAGGAAATTTTGAGATGTGTTAACTTATTGCTCGGGTCAACATTTAGGATGTCTTTTACTGCAGGAAAATCTTTCATTCCCACGGGAAAACATAATAACTGGTACTATCGAGTAATCCTTAGAAATTTATATGGCTAACGGTACTAAAAAAATGTACGTCTTATTAAGGCCTACAGAAAAATCTGCAATAGCATAAGTCTTTCTCCTAATGTACACTCGCAATAAATATTTATATCTATTTAAAGCGTACCGACCCGAGTGAAGTCAAGGTTTAGAATATAATATAGTTGAGAATATAATAGAAGCACATATTAATAAATAATAACAAGGTTTCTGATTTTCCGTTTATCTCTTCGATCATCCGTCCACATATTATATATTGTGTCGGCTTAACGTGTATTAAACGAGAATGGTTGAGTAGATTTCTGCAAAATTATTTTACTCTATATAATTCTATTGTCTTAACTGTAAGAGATTGCTCATAGCAATAGGACCGCCTTTGTATGCTTTTTAGTTATCTTTCTTTTCCTTTTCATCTTCTACACTGTTCTTTTGTGAGTTTAAAAAAGAATTTATCCATGTAAGTTTCATATTATTTGCTTTTATTGCCTTTATGCATGCGATATGAATTGGAGGTCATATTTATCACTATTAGAAACTGCCCTAAAACATTTTAAAAATCTGGTTTTTTTATCTTCATTACAAATACATAATTTCCAATACATTATTGTATTTTAATTTTTATACCTCTTAAAGTAATAGGTTATAGTTTTCAGTTTGTTTTTCAGTAAATGTAAGAGTATTATGTTGTTTTATGTTTTTAAAAGAAAATAATTTATTTATACCGGTTGAATTAGCCTTTCAATAGAATACATTGTAAAATGTACTTACTTATCAACAAAAACAAATCTATGAAAAACCGTACATGATTTCGTGATAAAAAGTAGCCTATGAGCTGTTCCAGACTTTAACATATCTCTGTTCTAAATTTCATCCAGATCCGTTCAACCGTTCTAGCGTGAAAGAGTAACAAGCATCCATCCATATATCCTCACAAACTTTCACATTTATAATGTTAAGTGTAGATTTTAAATGTTTATACGTGTTATATTTTTTTTGTATATAAACTTGGCTTACTATATAAATTAATAAATATTACAGGTATTATTACAGTTATTTTAATACAAAACTCTATGTAGTAATACGTCATACTTAAACGTAAGTCTACTTACGTAAAGTTTACTATAAGTAGTAAAATGGATATTGGATAAGTTTAAAATATTTGAAACAATTAACTTATACAAAACAAAACAAAACTATATACATAAATATTATAAAGTCATAAGTTCCGCGAACTCCAAACTTAGTTTTCGCCAGACAAATTGAAATAAACGAATCGCGAAGAAATATTTTATTCATATCAAAACTGCAGAAGAGATAAAAGTTAAAAAATGTTGAAATTATATTACAGCAGTTATATTTAACTAGAACACTTGCAGAATGAATAGGGTTCGCGTTTTATTTGAATAATCAAAATTTTATTTTATGTTGAAGCGGCACTTAAAATTTTTTATAGGCTTTTAATATTGAAAATATTTACGAAGTAGCTTTTATTTACGCAAGAATATTGTATTTAAAGTACTTGATAAAATATTAGAGTAAAATTATTTGTTTGTAAACAAAATGTTTCTTGTTTATAATTTGTTTATATTTATACTGTACTAGCGACTCACCCTCGCTTCGTTCGGGTTGGTCTCTGGCTTGATTCCCAGTACAAACTTTCATTCCCATTTTCACCCCCTTAAGGGATGATTTCCGGGATAAAAAGTATCCTATGTACTTCCCAGGGTCACAAACTATCTTCTTACCAAATATCATCTAAATCGGTTCAGTAGATACAGAGTTTACCCCCTATAATGTCACAAACTCACAATTTCACAAACTTTACCTCTTTATAATATTAGTATAGATAACTAACGACTCACCTACGACCAGCTCGAGTTCGTTCCTAGATACGTGTTTAGTGGTTAGTATAAATTTCTCAGAGATTAGTATTTTACCGCAGTAAAAAGTATCCTATATGCTGATCCTGATAACCAACTATCATCTGCAGCAGTCTGTATGTCTGTACATCTGTCTGGGATCATATCACGAGAAAACCACTGTACAGATTCTAATTAGGTATGATGATAGCTGGTTTAGTTTTCTGAGCGAAGTAAGAATGAGTTTTTAGTTCTATAATAAAAACAGTCTACGTACAAACAACACTCCAGTAATATTATATATAATAAAATATTATTATGTGGTTCTGATTGAAAAACCATTACAAAACAAAGCGGTTAAACAATTAAACGTCCAAACAAATTCATGTATGACCGCAAACAAATGACACTCATAGCCCTAAATACCCGCATATTGGATGCAACATGGGGCAATAAAATATATAAAAACCACAGCGTTTTGTAATTAAGCAACGAATTTAAAATAGTTATTGGCGTTTATATGACAGCTAATTATGTTTTATGGTTTTAAACCGGAAAGGTCGGGCTTGGGAGCTTATTGCTATAAGCTTTGTGCGTGTATTTAAAAAAATGAGCTTTCAATTTTTACAGAATATGTATTGTTAATAAAGAAATCCATTTGACCGACTAGAAAAAGAGAAGTTATTTAATTCGAATGTATATTACACATTTAATGTAAATTTAACACAACACAATGTAAGTCTAAAAGTAAAAATATATTGTTCAATAAAGCTTTTTATACTATTACAGACTACTTTGAGGATGTCAATGTGTGGAACTAATGTCTGGTTGGGTCTCACGTAGGATAAGTAGATAATTATTGTATTGCAATATTGTAAATAAATATTATTTTAAAAGAGCAACTGTTGAGTTTCTCGTCGACTCTTCTCAGCAGAACTGCCTTCCGAGCCGGTGGTAGATTCGTTACAGACGTACATACTGACATTTAATTTAAATTTTAAAAATGTAAAATTATCGATTCAAAAGTGCTTGTAAAAGTCTATTGGAATAAAGTATATTTTGATTTTATTTGTATGTTTTATGTGTGTAGGTATGTTACATGATATCTTTGCAATCAATTAATCAAATTTCTAGCAAATAATGCTTGGCCCTCAGACCAGATCAAGAAATTCGATTATAAGCTGTGCCTTGGAAAGAATATTAAGCCCTTTGTCGTAGACTTTATTGAAATTGCTAAACGCCTAATGTAGTAAATGTTGAAGCCTCTCGTTTAACTTCTGAAAGATCTGAAAAATTATTTGAAAATCGTTTTGGTGAAAAACCTTTTTTTATTAAATACCTATTAATATAATGATAATAAACGACAACCAAAACTTAGATGTTAAAGTTTAATAAATATTGATATAAAATATGAATTACACGAGTAACGATATCAACATAAGCTACTATGTTAAAATCTTGAAATTAATAATTTTAATTATTTAAAATACGTAATATTATAATACCTTGTAATTAATGAAATTGTGTTTATTAATTTCCTTAGTACAATAACGAGTCCTATATATAACAATAGTTTATATGTCATACACACATGCCAGGTCATAGTGTACCAATGAACTAAATTCTATTCAAATCCATCCAGTCGTTTTAGCGGTGTGAAACAAAAATACACACATACACATATGCACACACACACAAATTCACACACAACATGCGCACACACACGTACGCACACGCATACACATACACGTACACGTACACACACACGTAAACACATGCACACATAATCACACAAGCTTCCCCATTTAAGATACTATCTCGATATACGAAATATTATTTCAAAATTATTTAGCAAGATTCAAAAACAAAGCAGACGTCGTCAAACGTTTTTGCTAGTATTACAAAAGACGTTATTACTACAACACACCTGTTACTAATCCGAAAGATCCATTTATTCTAACGTATAACACTAATTGGATATTTGCTCTTCAATTTGCCCTCAAAATTATGGAGTGGTTACAGTAATACACCAAATTAAGCCATTAAGTAAATTGTCCATGAATAAAAGGCGATATCTGAAATATTAGAAATCACAGTCGAATAGTTTCATTTGTAACACCCCCTCGTAACTTTTACGTTTCATTTAACATGATTGACGTCGCAGATTGAATTCACCGCAAAACTTTTTTATGTAGAACATAAATTTTATATTTTATCTTTTTTACTCAATGCTCTCGGTTTATTTTTAACTCTTCTGAGTCGAATCTATCCAT